GTACTGGACTGAGAGAGAGAGAGAGAGAGTTCTTCTTCCTCTTCTTCTAAGTCCACCATCTCTTCTTCCCCTCTCACCACCTGACTTCTCAGTATCAGCGGACTACTACAGAGAGAGAGAGAGTTGTGACATGAGACTTGACGACATTGGATCCAGACTCGACATTGGGATTCAGACATGTTGACGAGGGACTATTTGGGCCTGTGCTGAACACTTGTGTGTTGACGACATTCCCATCTTCCGTTCTTCTTCGTCTAACCCCACCTCCTTCGTCTGTGTATGGTTGGGGCTGGCGCAGTCTTCTTGTGTGAAGCGCCAGACCCCTTCACACCATGATGATGATGATGTATGTTTTGGGCTGCATTGCAATATTGATTGTTCGGATCATTGGTATCTAAGTCTTCCGCTGTGCTATCTTATACTTTGTATTGAAAGGTCGGTTCTTGTTCTGGTCTGCACCTATACGGTATGCAACACGTGCTGTGTCCATATAGCTGTTATATGTGTGCACATATAACAGACGGACACATATAACTGTTTGTGCACACATATACCTGTTTGTGCACACATATAAATGTTTGTGCACACATATAGCTGTTATATGTGTGCAGAATTGCGTTCTGTGCTCTGTGCTGTTCGGTAACATTGGCTGGGGCTGGGTGGGTCCGTCTTTTTACCCCCTACACGCCTGCCCATGGTTAACCGGGGATGTTTTTTTTTTCCCCGCTGAATTTGGCACTGAAACTGACACATTGGCCAGAGTTTTTGCCTTTTTTCTTGTTCTGTTTTGCGCGATAACATTCTCAGGTTTGTCACAGCGTACACTTGACTGTTATGGCCATGCCTGAGCTTATAATAAATAAAATTAATTAATTAATTAATTAATTAATTAATTAATTAAAATTTGAAAGTGGGTGGCCCCTGACATTCTTGTATGTATTGGATAATTCTGATTCCATCAGGGTTTCAACTCGTGAGCTGTTTACGAACAGTTGCATGGCTATATATGTGTAGTACTGCAGACTGTTCAGTCAGCCACATGGGCTGGGTATCGCCAGCCATGCCTAAGCTACGTACCCGTCGTAAAGTCAAACACTGATTTTATATTGTTAATATGATTTTATTTTATGTCATCTCACTGTCACCCAGGGGCGAGGTCCCACTAGCAAAGAGGATTGGATTTAACGCCCGAATGTGGATGTGTTTGTGCCATTTTGTGGAAAGGTGCAGAGAATCGCGATTGATCTACTTTTCTGCATCCCTGCGTAAAACAGATCCAGATTCAGTCAGTTAATCCAATCCTTTTTGCTAGTGAGACCTCGCACCAGTACGACCTTCTTTCTCCCCCTTTCTCCCGGCCTCTCCCCCTCTTTGCAAGCAGTGAAGCTGTGTCAACTGCTTTTGCAATGTGTTTGCTGGAGAGAGAGAGAACAGGTTCTCTTTGTTTTTGCCCTTTTTCTTTTTGTTTTTTTGAAGGGCAACAACCTTGAGATATCATCATTTGATTGGACCGTCCCTAGGTAATTCAAATTTGCAGTATTGTTTACTCATCTGCTTCATCTGCTTCTAGTGGAGTTCGAACTCAGGTCTGTTTTCTGCAGTTCAGGGGTGTACCAACTGAGCTAGGCCAGTTCTCTTTTTGCTCCTTTTATCCTGCTGTGTGCCCACAGTAGGTCAGCCGCACAGTCAGTTTATCCAAGCGGCAAACATCATCAAAATACATATGCTGTGCTTTTTTAGTCCTTTGTCATATGTCTGCTTTTAGCTGCCCCCTGTCTCACATGCTCAAATGGCCATGCTGAGTGATTTCAAAAGTGCATGGTTGCTCTCTCTCTCTCTCTCTCTCTCTCTCTC